AATATTGATTAGTATACAGTTGATAGAAAAAAATGAATAGTTATAAAATGAGTAGAATGATAGAAAATGTAAACGGGACGAAACGAGTGTGGGACGAAACGAGAGGGGACGAAATGAGACGGGACGAAACGAGAGCTAATTAACAAATACGGGACGAAACGAGAGGATACCATTATGTAGCTTCTCTTCCAACTTTCTCTTCACATAACTTTTGTACGATATACATAATGTCAGGCGAAAAGTGTAAAAGTTGTCTATTAAACTATGGTTTTCTGCTAAAAAAACAAGAGATAATTTATCAATGATGACAACTGCTGATAATGATTATTGTATTAATTGTATATTATTTCCCAACGTATTTGGTTAACTATTACGTGTTTTTGTTGAAACACCTTGTTTCCTGTACAAGCATTTAATACCTTATTAAAAACTGGCCACTCAAAATCACAATTTTTTAAAGGATCAACGATGTGTGCTGATAATTTCCAAGACACATTTGAAAAACAACCATTATTATCAATCGTTTCATTGATTGATAAAGAATGATTTGAATTAACTGAACGTAATAAAGCAGTACTGTTATCAATCATTAAAATTATTATCACTTGTGCTCGTCAAAATATACCATTACGTAGTCATCGTGAAGAAAAATTAATTGATATGCGTAAAACATTAAATTGTGTTGACTCATCATCTGGTTCTAATTTCATAGCTCTATTAAAACAACGTGTTAATTCAGCTGGTGAAGTTTTAAAATGGCATTTAGAAAACTGATCAAGAAATTCATCATTTAAAGGCGGGCTAGTTTAAAATGAAATAATTAAATGTATAAATGAAACTATATTGAAAAGTAGTTTACGTCAAAGTAAAGACTGAGTCTATTGAATTATTGTTGGTGAAAGAACCGATGCATCAACTACTGACCAAATTAGTTTTTCTTTACGATATTACGATGAATCGACAAGCGATATTCGTAAAGATTTATTACCTTTATTGATACTGTTTCATGTACGAGTAAATCAGTTGCTAGAATAATTCTTGATTATTCAAAACGTTATAATTTACCACTTGACAATTGTGTAGAACAGTGCCTCAAATATATCGTGTAAAGGTTGTCAAGCAATTAAGGGGGGGGGGCCCCCCCGGGCGGGGGGTGGGGGGCGCCCGGCGGGGG